AGCAGTTCCCAACAGATTTCTATGAGTTTATTCTAATCTAAATACATCTGAGGTTATATTTAGGCTTAATTTGTGTCTTGTTATTTCACCCATCTTCTAAATAATTGAATGAGACCCTATAGGACCAATGTAAGGTAGTGTGGAAATTTCTCAAAATGTAGTCAAAGGCTAGATAGGCTCACTTTTTAAAACTGATCTATTTTTATTTTACTTAGGTGTGTGTGTGTGTGTGTGTGTGTGTGTGTGCAGTTGTTCTAGAAGGCCTGGAGAGGGTGTTGGATCCTGTGGAGCTGGAGTTATAGGCAGTTGTGAGCAGTCTGATGTAGGTACTCAGAGCCGAGCTTGGGTCCTCTGGAAGAGCAGCTAGCATTCTTAACTGCTGAGCCATCTCTCCAGTGCCTACATTCTAGATTTCAGAAATTTTAAATGATGCATGCAACCACTGTCAATTTAAGTGATTTTTGAAAGCACAAATAGGATAAAAATTACAACCAAATAACAAAAGGAGGGCTCTTTGTCTTACACTGGATTTGCATAGCTTCTGTTTATGCTAATGGAAGTTAAACACCTGTTCTGGGAAGGAAATTGGCCCCTATCTGTGAAAATAAATATGTACAGTAGATTTCCAGATACAATGCTGAAATCAAACAAGCAAAAATGTGTGCTATACAAACACAGCATCGAGTAGCCTGCCTGAAGACATGTCTGTTTTATGTTTTACTTCCTGCGCTACAGGCCCTGAGATATTACTCACACTTTTTGCCATTTAAATGTAACAAAAAGTAAAGAAGGTGGGGGGTGGGGTGGACAAATTCAACGTGTTGATTTCAGTGAGCTCATACACAACTCTCTGTTTACCTCCTCACAAGTCCCTAAAAAAAAAAAAAAATTGCGTCAGTCAATCTGGACCAGAGCCACTGCTATCATCCTAAGAGTCAGGAAGGATAATTGTAGATAATGGAGAGGGACGCTATCATTGGGGCTCTGAGCTGGGACTCCCTGCAGCAGCTGCAGCCTCAGCTGGGACGGATGAGGCAGCTGATTGTTAGCAACTGGTGACACCAGAGTCGCTGCTCTCTGCAGTGTCCTTCTTACCTGGACTCCAAAAGAAGATGTCTCCAATGGCGTTCACAGGAAGTTTCTTACAGTGTGGAGAACAGGAGCAGCCTGTCCCACCCTGCTTCCTCTGATGAAGCGGAAATTACAGGAAAAGTTTCAAAAAAAAAAATTATGCCTTAAATTGAAATTACGATAGCATGGAAATGAGGCATGGTAGGTGTTCTAGAACCCTAACTTGGCTCAAGCACTACCCTTACGTGCACTGTGAGGCTTAGGACCTAGAATCTTATAATTTAAGAAACAGGTAATCGATTATATTGCATGCACTCTTTTAATCACATTTCTAGAGATTCCTCTTTTTTTTGTTGTTGTTCCAATGATCGAGGTCAGAGCCAAAATATATCATTTCTTATTTGTCTTATGGTCAGTTTTCTTGGGAACAGAACAGGCTAAACGACATGCGGGGCCCGCTAAAAATTAAAATATGGAGCCTCATGCTGACAACTGTTTGCCAGCTGCAAGACAATGACAATACAATGTTCAACTCAGCTCAGAACGCCGAGGCATAGCGGGCCCTGTAAAACTGGACCAGTCCCATACCAGTGCTGCCGGCTTCACGTGTAGAATAAGATCTTGGCTAAATAGAGCAGCTGCCCTCTCCCTCCAGCCCCAGAGAGGTTTCAGGCAAATAACAATGGAAAATGGACGTGAGAGGGCTTCTCACAGACAGACGTCTCTTCAGTTTACTGAGGTCCCAAGGCAAGGAGATCAGCATTGAGGGTTCTGGAAACTACCATTTACATTTTTACACAGACTGGTATCTAGAAGTGTTTTATCTTTTTCTATCAAGGCTTTCCAAAGGCCAGCGTGACCCTGGTGAGGAATTCAACTTTAATGAGGACCAGAGGACTCATTTTGAATGCTGATCATGGTAGCACAGCCTATTGACAATTTGGTTCTCAGTGCCATATATTTTTCTTCTCCCTCTATATTTTTTCTATTTAAATTGCTTCCTGCTCAGACTCTCTTCCTCTCATCAGCCATGTACCAGCCTTAGAGTTGACCTCTAATTCGCAGAGGGCCAGCTTGTCTTGAAAGCACCCCAGATGGCTTTCTGAAGTGGAGGCGAGTTAGAAGTCTGGGAAGGCACTGTTTAGAGCATATCCCTTCTTTCCAAGTACAGTGATGCTCTGTCTGTCCCAGGCTGGTGAGGACATAAGAGTAACCACAGTAACGGTATCAGTTGCCCAGGATATATCTACCATCTCTAAGAAGCGAGCTTCAACTGTGCAACTCCAACTTTCCCATTAGTACTTGGTGTCTTGACACCTGTGGTCTTCAGAGGTTTAAAGAAAGCCACAGAGTCAGCAAGGGGAAACAGAAGTGACTCTCTTCATCTCAAAAAAGAAAAAAAAACCCAAAACATATATATATATATATATATATATATATAAGATATCTTACAGAAACACTTAGGAAAAAATGATTGTTAGTCTAAATCACATGGTTAAGACTGAGCTAGCCACTGCTTTGTGTATGATCAAACAATACAGGAAGAATTGTTCAAGTGTTGAAGCCTAGCCTGTTTTTCACTCATTCAGAGAAGGGCTGAAAGATTGTAACATTACCTACGCTCAATAAAATGGTATATTCCCCTTTCCTCTCCTGGTACTGAATTTGTAAGGATAAACAACCCTACAAATTGTTTGGCCTATTATATGTCACAGAGATTTTTCTATAGCCTGTCTAGACTCCAGACAATAGGCGAGACTGGCCTATAGCTGCAGACATTTCTGTAGTCTGTAATATCACTTAGAAAAGCAAGGGCAATAATACAAAAATGAAAACCAGCCTGACCTGTGTGATGATAGTAGGCATATGAGCATAACAACACTTCACAATTCAGAGAAGATGATAGTGCCCCACGAAGAGGTTGAACAGCCAATATCAGCCCAAGCAACTTTTGTAAAATCACACATATTCCTCAGACAGAGTCATATTCCAGTCATTTTGGGCATAAGCTATCAATGTACCTTATTGCAGAAAATTATATCCATGTTATTCTGTTTATTTTTTTTTCTTATCAGAGATGTGTCTATATGGCTATGTAATATTTCAATAAGCACAGAGGTCCTTCAGGAGGCCTTTATAAGGATAAGCCAGATTATTACGTTAGCTATAACAGAAGAATAAAACAACTAGTGTGCACTACTTAGAAAGAGTTAAAGGGCATCGTGCTTTTGAGGGAGATAGAGAAAAGTTTAATATTTCATCTATCTCCTGCTGTTTCTGGACAGCTTTCCACCTTTATTTTTCTCCTCAAATAATAGTTGTTATCAAGAAAGTAAAGAAAGAAAACACACACACCCACAAGTAGGACAGAGAAATGGAAAACTTGTTTGTTTTAATTGTCCTTTGCTCTCTCTCTCTATGTTTTAGGAAAGAGTTAAGTAATGACTATTGTTTGTTGCTTAGTTTTATTTGGGTAAAGACCACGAAGAAGTACACCAAATATAAAGAATCCTCATCACAGAAAATATGGCTACAAAACCATGGGTGATAAATATTTCTGACTCAAATGTCAACCTCTTCCAAAGGCTTCCAACTGTGGGGCACCTGGCCATCTGGATCTTCATCATACGGGCCAGTGTTGACAGTTGCTGCCACCTTGCATGTCTTAACTTGTGGCATCAGGAATAACAGAGCAGAAGAGAGTCTCAATACAGGACAACCGAGATAGGCCTGTTTTATTTAGCATTTTGCATGCTAGGGTAGAAACCCCTATTCCTAAAGTTATTCAGTTTCTATGCCCAGCTGAAATCCGAAAACATCATTTGGCTGGTTTCAACGCAATCAGCTGCAGAACACCACATTATGTAATGTGCCATCAAAAGTTCCACCGCTGAACAGACCATCTGGGGTTGTCAAAGTCTCAGGATGCTGGTGGGTGGAACTGTGACGACTCCTCAGCCATTAGCTAAGTTAGACCACCAGGTAGTCCCAGAGCACCTCCCAGGTCCTGAACGTTGTGCATACAAATGTGCTCTGTCTTCTCTCCAGAATGCAAATGTTAGATTCAAGTTTTGCCCAAGCAACTTTACACAATACTCTTAGTGGGTTTTTTCCCCCCTGTATTTTGTTTGTTTTTAAGGAAGAACCTACCCTCCAAAAAAACAAAACAAAACAAAAAAACCAAACCAAAACCAAACAAAAAAAAAATAGAAAAACAACAACAACAACAACAAAAACCCCAAACCAAAACAAACACAAAACTTAACCTTACCAGAAATGAAGGGTATTTTTTTTATTAACATTTTTTTAGAAGTAAAAGATTTAAAAAATTGATCAGCAATGGAAAAGTAAAAAAAGGACACAAGTTCAAAATTTTTCTGGAGTAAAAGATATATTATTTTCACACTGATACATGCCATGATTGACATAAAATTTGATTTCTCTCAGCCTTCTTCATTGGTGGCACTGTACTTAAATAGAATGATTTTCATTCAGCACACCCAACTGCAACCTGACTTTCTCAGAGTAAATGGTAAATCCCTACTTCAGTCTTAACGTGATGAATTTGGTGAGCTTTAGTCTCATGAAAGTACACCTTGTCGTACAGCTTGATAAGCAGGGGTTTCTACACCACGAATAGGAGGAGTCCGGATCATTAACTAAAGCATCCTGCGGGTGGAGCTGCGGGCCAAATTAGGCCCCAAGGAGGCGCCTTCAAACTCCCACTGAGGTCAGTGGAAACTTGCAAACGCCATCCAGAGAGTTCTTGTGGCTCAGAAAGCCTTGCTGATGATTTCAGTAGGTCTATATGAAGAGCGAGCACAAGCCAAGCTCCTCTCTCGCCCCAAACAAAACAAAACAAAACAAAACAAAACAAAACAAAACAAAACAAAACAAAACAAAACAAAACAAACCCTCCAAACACGTACCTCCCCAACGTCGTAGATCCAAATGCGGCCTTCCGAGTCCCCGACTGCAACCTCCTTGCCACCTTGTGCCCAGCGAACGCGGTTTAGGGCAGACGCACCCTCCACGGCCACGGTTGCTGTTGGCACCTGCCAAAGGGGGTATGACACAACAAGGAGTATGAATTTCAACGTGCCAGTGTGCAGGGATGTGTTTTACCCCAGGAGCCACGTCCGTCTGCCCAGGAAGGGTGAACGGTACTCATTGTCCTGGAATCATACGCTCCACCGACTTAAGGGGTAGGAAGGAGAGACGTTAACAAACACTGGGAACAGGAACATACTTTCCCCACAGCCGCCGCCCCGCCAGTGACAGGAACATCTCCTCTCGATTTTGTCAAGTGCCCGCCCAGCATGGAAGCGTGACCGCTAAATGCAACGCTTGACCATCAGATAATTTGGGATGGGTCGTGGGGGGGGGGGGGGGAGGAGACGTTTGTTTTTACCAGGACCTGTAAAAGACAAGGGCATGGTAGAAGACCAGTCAATCCCCCAAATAACGTGAGTTTTCGTGAAAATGGAAGCGCACACGGACCGGTTCGTAGCGCAGTCATCAACGTCAGGAGGGAGTGGATGGTCAGAAGAAAAGTGAACAGGTTAAAAAAATAATAATAATAATAATACGCCTGAAGAATCATAAAGCCTCCTCTTTGGTCTGTTCTTTCTCCCGGTGGCAATACCGAGATCTATTCTTGCTGTCCACACAGTAACATTCTGCTAAAGTACAGCTATCTATGTGTATGACTCCTGTAATAAACACTGGAAATCCAGAAAAATGTTGGTCATTGGGCCAATACTCACTATCACAGCCCTGAGCTAGAACCCGCAGTCTATTTATGTATTTATTAAAAAAAGAAAAGAAAAGCAATGCGCGGAGGAAAGATTTCTGAGTGAGCGACCCATCTTCAGTCGGTGCGCATATTATTGTCTTCAAGATTGGAAGTTTGTAATTGTCTGGAGCTCCTGAGCCCTTCCGTGAGGAAGTTGGGTAGGGTAGGAAATGCCAGCACCTCTCTAAGAAGAGGGAACATGTTAAAAGAAAGAGGAGAAGGTGATGGAAAGTGGGCCACCGGGAGCATCTCCTGCCGCCGTGTGAGTCCTGTGCTCAGTAAGCGTGTCTCAGCAACACGGCGACATGACATATCTGTGACTTAGCACCCCCCCACACCCGGCATTCAGCTACTCACAGGATTGAAACCATCTGTTTATATGAAACTATTGAGCCAATACCTATCTTTAAAATGGCAATAAAAACTCCATCCTATGTAAGAATCTATGTTTAAACTTCATCTTGAGATCAATAAGAATTCTTTTCACCTGCTTAAGTCATTGCATGTCAATTCTGAACAAAAATGTAAAATGAAAATCCCCAGCTCATTTTTTTTAAATACCCAATTTCTACAATAAAGGTACCTGCTGTGCAAGCTAGAGTCTGAATTTTTAACCAAACCTTGCAAAGAATAAAAACAATGTGAATTTAGATACACTATAATTCTGTCAATATACTTTATTGTTGTTGTGCTGGCCTGAAAAAAAATTCATGATTCAGCGGTAGAACCTTCAGAGTTCATTTCTGATACTGTGACTTAGAAGCATCATACAGGATTTTCCATGTTCAATATCAGATTTGACCTTGAATAATCTAAAAGCTGAGTGAAATGTTTAATCTCCACATGGAATAGCTAAAAAATTAATTACTCAAAAACAAACAAACAAACAAACAAACAAAAAAACCTGACCTTCTCATATGGTTAAAACAATGCCCGCTGGCTACTAAAGAAATTAGTTTACTTGAAATGTAACACAGCAGTCTGAAGTCAGTTTTAAAAATATCCAAAATGCTTTCTTTTCATAGCTGTCATAAAATATAAAAAAAATAAAATACACTATTGCAGCCTATAGTATATGCTAAAAATTAACAAGTACACAAGGGAACAATATATAGCTGTGTTAATTTAAGTGGTATTTGAAGTTCAAATGTGAATGAGTCTGTATTATCATAATCTGCATGTTCTATGTATGTATCTTGCTTTCAACTTTGATTTCATAAGTATTCTCATGTTTTTATGGCATAGTCATTTTAATTGCAAATATAAGATGTATATAGCATAAATTACTAAGCAGTAAGAGTTGGTTGTATCAAGGGTAAATAGGAGCCATTTTTGCACAGCAGCAGCAGGGACAACTTGGTTTAACAATATAATAATTTGAAGGAATGATAAAATAGACTGGACATTTAGGCTCCCTCAGCCCCCCCCCCCAAAAAAAAAAAACATATCTATTTTCTAATCTGACTTATACCTGAAAAATATTACCGGACTTGTCTGAAGATGAAAATGACAGACGACAGCTGGGCTTTAAAAGTGTGAGGTACTGGATCTGAGTCAGGCGTGGTGTATTTTCGCTATTACTGTGAAAGCAGACCCGTGTTTATCATAAAACTCAACTGTATGCACGACCGACCAATTGGGAGTTTTTAAATGTTAACTGTAAAACCCTTCTGTGTTTCTTTGATACCTACGGAAAGGGAGGGCAGTGTCAAGACATCACTTTCTTTTTCTCGAAACAAAACAAAACACACACAAAAAAAACCAACCAACAGAGTTAGATGGGAGCTCTTAAGGAGGTGCAGGCCACCCTTTCTTATGCACTGGGGCTGGGGTGTCATGCAAACATCACCTCAGCTCAGAGTGCTTTCTGATACAGCTAACTCCCGAGTCAATCTGGAAAGCGTTTATTTTTTGCTTGCTTTGAGTGAGTTTCTTCTAGCAAATAGAAGCAATATGATTTTAATCAACAGTGATGAAAGACTTTGGGAAACCATTACAACGTAAGGTAATAGCGTCTTACTATTAAAAGCAATGATGTTATAAACATTTCAACATCCCAAATGACGGACAGCATCTCACCCATGCCTTTTGATTATTTTTAAAGATACTTCAATACATAACTTCCTTGTCACATAGCTCTTGGAGGCGAAAGGAAAAATAAGCCGCAGTGGAAATGCTTTTAAAAGGTAACTGTTTGGTAATAGTTACTAATAGCTGTGCTATTAAAGGTACCCGGATACAACACCACCTGAAGGAAATTTCCCTATCTCCTCCCACAGAAAAACCCCTGTGTGCCTCCTTCATGTCCGTCAGCTGTAGGATCTTAATTAAAAAGGCTGAGCAGCTTCCTGCTCCAAGCACATCAAAAGACTTGTTTCATTTGACATATACCTTGTATCATGTACTTTTTCCCTGGGTTATTTGTGTTTATGGCGGGCTCCCTGAACAAAACAAATCAAACAAAAAACAAACAAAACAAACAAACAAACAAACAAAAAAACAAGAAATGATGCAGAGGCCATTTTAGGACCCATTATATTCATGTTCCCCAAGCAATAACAACAGCAATCCCAAGGCTGTGAAATAGACCCTCAATCATTTTGAGGGATTGGAAAAAAAGAACAAAGCAGATGACATAAACTTTAAAAATAATCATTTCATTATCAACTATTTTTTTGGCTAGGTTGTGACTTTAAGTGTGACATGCTAAAAATCCCACTTTAAAAACGGAGTTTTGTATACCTGCTCGAACTTAGACACTACTGCCTTTGAGTTCAATACTGTAGACGAGAAATAGTTCCCTAGTAAAAATTAAACGAATGGTAGATCTGAACAGAGAGCAGTGAAGAGAATCATCTTTTATGGGTTCAAAACAGAAACTGTACAAAAAGCCAACATTGACAGAGTAACCCCGTTTCAATAATCCAACCTAGAAACAGTACCCACAGAAGCTTACTTTTCCAAGGGTCTGCCAATAAAGTTATTTCAACATTGGGTGTCCTTTCCTTTAAGGAAAGGTGTGAATACACCTTGTACTCTTGGGGGGTGGGGGGACGGTGTGTGTGAGGCAGTGTCTGTACTTGTCTACGATCTGCCACAGTTGACAGATGGAGTAGCATGGAGTTTTGGTCCCCCCCCTCCCGGTCAAGAACTGGGGGGTAGGGTGTAGTGGGGGGCGATGGGCGCAGCCCAGAGGCAGTCAGAGGGTCTGTCCACAAAAGGCCGGTTTGCAGGAAGAACCAGACTATTGAGAGGCCCGGGCGCCCCCTCCCAGTCCTGGGCCCGGGAGCCTGCCGCTCACCTCGGTGTCACTGTTGAGGTTCCAGAGGTCCAAGCGCCCCATCCCGTCCACGCAGGCAAAGAGCGCGGGATGCACAGGGGACCACGTGACATCGTATACATAGTCCGCATTGTCTTCAAAGGAGTAGAGCGGCTTGTTGTGCTGTAAAGCAGAGAGACCGTGAAGACAGAGCGGCGCTGCCGCCGCCTCGGGCAGTCTAGGCAGCCTAATTAAAAACTTTGCACATTCACCAAGTGTCATAAAACTTCCCGAGATGAAAGTCCCCGAGAAGGTGAACCGGGGCTTTAATGTGACTACAACTGTCCAGTGGCATAAATAAATCCCGGGGTGTGGGGGGGTGGGGGGCACTCTTGAATGATCCGGGGCCGGGACCCGCGGAGCTGAGGCGGCTTCAGACACAGTTGTAAGCGACATTCCAGACAGGTGGACGCGACTGCCATTAGCTCGGAATTCTTGCCGGGCCAAGCTGTGCGAGTCGCTGGGAGCCCGAGCCCAGCGGAGGGCTGAGGGGCTTGGACCCTCCGGGATGCTCCGGAGCCCGGGCTGTCCCTGGCGACCCTAGCTCTGCACCGAAGGCAGCGTCTGCCACCTCGTGGTCCTCTATTGTCGCTGCAGCAGCGGCGGCTGCTCCCGCCCCAACTGCAGGCCAAATTCTCATTTTAACGCTTTCTTTGCAGAGAGGAAAGGGGACAAATACCTTTAAAGGGGGGGTGGGTATGTGGGTGTGTGGGTGTCTCAGCTCTTACAGAAAAGTGGGAATCTCTCCATTCGAGACCCTAGTCTTCCTACACAGGGTTAGTTCAGCCGAACCAAAGTGGAGGGATGCCGCTCATTCCAGAACCTATGAGGTTACACAGAGAATATGACATCCTTTCTAAATCACTAAGGATTTTCAAGACCCCTAAAGTTGATGTTCTGAGGGGAAACACTCAACATTCTCCAACTGCATACAAATGCTTCCACTCCAGAGGGATATAATAAATTAAAATGGCACACTTGATTTCCAGTGAATATTGTCACACCGAAATAGCACAGAAGTCAGAGGCAAGTTTGAAAGTACACCAGAAATAAAACGTAATTGGACTTTATGAATTATTCATTCCATCTGGCTTGTCTTATTCTAATTTCTGCATAATGGCTTTACTAATCCCTGATCAATTAATGTAAAATGAAATTTAAATGATAATGAAAGCCCCAGAGATAAAAGAAATTAACTATTCTTATATCCTCTGACAGAAATCTAAACAATGGGAATTTTTGTCTTCTTCCTCCAGTCAGCTGTCTGTACTCTCTTCTCAGGCTCTATGGAATGCCTACACAGGCCAGAGTGGTAAGATCAAGAAAAGATAACATACAATACAACAATCAAATCCTTTCTGCTTTGGACATTCAAAGAACACATCTGTAGGGAATCGGCTCCAAATATCAGAGCAAACTGCCCATGTGTGCTGCTTGTGAATGCAAAAATGCCCAAAGTACATGTGCTGAAATTGAAATGGAGAAGATCGGTGTAAACCCATGGTTCTTTAACCTAAATATAATGCAGCAGCTTGTTATGGTAGTAACTGTAATTGATTTATTTCCATTGCTTGCATTTTCTTGACATTTAAAAGTCACTGGTTTGCTTCAAACAAAGTTTAGATAGATTGAAGCAACGCAGAGTATAGATGGGCCAGTATATGTGTGTGTGTGTGTGTGTGTGTGTGTGTGTTTGGAGTATTTCTATAAGAGTTAGACGCATCGTATTTTTAACTTCAAAAGTATCTGAGAGGGAGTATAACTTGAAAAAGAATACTTGCTTTTGAAACATCAAAACGGTGTTAGAGTCCTGAATATTATCATTCTATAATTTCTATAAAAAATGTTTCACATCTCATGTCTGCGATAGGATTAGAGACCCAAATTATTGGCTTATTGGCTACTTACCTAGGGTCTCCTTCTCAGTTTATAATTCAAACTTTTCCCAGAAAATCCAGGTATCAAATTATTATCTAATAGCAGGAGTGTATAATTTCCTCTTATTTGTATTAAAAAGAAAATGTGAAGTAGCTGGTCCTTCTACGACAGTTGTGTATATTGCATTCTGACTCTTTGTTTACAAAAGTGTCGTCACAGAGTCTTGACTTTAAAGCTAACTGGCCACTATTTGTGAGAGAACATAAAATTTAAAAGCGGATTCTCGGGATCCTCTCTCACTCATTCAGACAACAATGCATATGAGCACACAGAGCTGTAGATATGGAAACAGGTACAAACTGTAACAGACATATAACATACCTGACATTATTTTTTGACCAATTATAACATACTTGACATTACATTTTGATCAATTAAGACCCCCTCCAGCTTTAAAAGTCACTCTACAAAAAGCTGCATCATAAGACATGCTAATCCCCTTAAGAAATTATCCTGTTGATTTTTATGTATGCCTCCTTTTTTTTCTTTTGATATTTTCTCTACTGAGAAATTCAGTAAAAATTAGAGTACATCCTGGAGACGTAGCTTTTGAAACATCTGGAAATAACTGCTCTTGCCCATGTTACTGTGCTCAGTTTTTTCCCTGGTCACCATTACTAATTGAAACACTATTCTTCTCTTGTCTTTCTGAAGCTTCCTCATCACCCTTCACCCCCAAAGCTGAACCTTCTATTACAAAAGTCACTGTGAATGGAACGCTTGCCTATAGTGGGTGTGTACTTGGGGAAAGGGAGGAGGCTTGACATTTTCAAAAGCTCTGTTTAACCTTGACAGATTCATAGACTTGGAAACTTACTGAACTCTCCCGGCTTCTCTCTACAGACCACTGGGTTCCATGTCACACACACAGGCATAAAAGCAGGCACAGGCAAATACCACTTGTACACTAGTGAGTGCTATTACACTTTGCTCAATAAAGGGCTTTTACCATTCTGTTTCATTTTGTCTCTAAGGATAACATTATTAAAATCTGCCTCAGATGCCTAATGTTTTAAAAAAAATGTACGGTAAACACTAAAATCACGAAACATTAACATTTTCAAAAAGGACCTTGAAAGCACCCAGTCTGAAGAACACTGTTTTTGAGTTTGTGAAACATAAATTTCAGAGCTTACAAATTTGTCATTGCTTACCAGGGCATGGCTATTGGTTTTAGAATACCACAGATTTTTGAAAAGACAGTATGGGAACAAACATTGTCAATGATTTTGAGAAGGAATTTCACAATCTCCTTTGCGTATATCAAAGCCACAGTGGCGCCATGATTTTAAACATTTACTCTAGAAAATACCCGAGCTCATTTAGTTAACTAAATATTGCTCCACAGCGTGTTGCCATAGAAAGTGTTTTTCAAAGCAGTCAAATTTCACTGGACAAAACTCCCTTCACCTGTGTGTTTCCCTTTCAAACTCCATGCTTAGTATCAGCAATGTGTCAAAAAAAAAAAAAAAAAAAGGAAAAGGAAAACTTCACCATTCACAGTCTGTGCATGCGAGGCGCATACCACTGAAATAAGACCTCGACCCCTAGGTTTCATCAGGTCTCCAGGTCTGCTGTCCCAACAATGTGCACGAAGCTACACAGCCCAGCTTTGCTTTTAGTTTGCTGACTTTCAAGCAAAGCAGAGTGGTCAATCAGCATCAACTTATGGGAAGGGCAGAAGAGAAGGTTTGCTGTGGGCCACGCTCTGCACACTCATTGTCTAACCTAATCCGCATAAAATTTCTGTAAGGTAGATGGTGTTTACAGAAAAGAAAATTATAGCTCGGGGAAGTTGGTAACTTGCAAGGCCACAGAGGTTGTGGAAAAGGGGAGGTGGCTTTTGTTCTTGGGGTCTCGACTTGTTAGGCACATCCTCGGTGTGCAGGCACTCTGGGCTCTTTCTACCTGCCTTGAGTCTGTACAGAGAGAACTGCAAATCTGTTAACCCTTATTCTTTACCCTCCCATTCAAGTGAATCAATATTTACTAAGCACACTCTAAATGACTTGTACAAACAGTTAAAAAATTATTAGCCACTGTTCTTTCTTCCCTAAACCAGTTATTAGTCACTTTCAGGGTATGACCCACACTGCTGAGGGCTCCTTAGTGTTTGGTGGGAGGAAAAGAAAAAATTCTCTGACATGCTAGAAACAGGATGGGAACTGTCCTTTAGCCAGGAGAGCATAAGGCCGTGCCTTGGAAAGTAGGATAATATGATCAAGGAGGCAAAGACTTGGCTCCAGTTCTCTGACTGGGAGCCTCTGGTAAAGAGCTACAGTGATGGCAGCTGGAAGGAATGAAGTAGCAAGGCTAGGAGCAGGCAGAAAGGTCATGAAAGACAGGGGGAAACTCCAACACTTGGAAAAATGTCACCCCATGACTTTGAATGACAGTGTTCTTATGTGGGTTCTCCTTGGTTTTATGATTCTAGGACACTTCTGCTGTGTGCAAAGAAGGGATGAAATAAAGCATACAGGAACCCCTGTTTTTCTGAAGTGCTGTTCAGTGGTACATAGTATAACGAATCCATCTTACTTGATGGTCTTAGAATTCGGACTGTGAGTCTAACAAAAAAGTTAAATGCTTTCTAAAATCTCTAACCCAGTAAAATAGTAACATAAACCCGAGAAACCTGAAATGCTGGAAGGGTACTAGTTTCTCTCTTGGATAACTGAAAAATAAGAAATACTTAATTTATGGTAGCGAGTGAAATCTGTTTAAAGAAACCAAAGCTGTCTGGCATCCAACATTCTCCAGTGAAAATTCTAGAAGCAGACTCTGCTTTATAAGCATACCTGTGAAAATGAGTAGACCTGCCTATTCTCCAACCTGCCGACTCAGAAATGGTTTCTTCAGCGGTGACCTCCTACTCTTGACATTACGGAGATTTCAGAGACTGAAAGGGTAATTTTCCTCCATGTTCTTCCCCCCTCCCTCATTTGTGGGGGACCTCCAAGCCAGAATTTAGTGTTCTGAAGGCTGGGGAATAAAAAGATTTATATTAAAATATTCTCCAATAGCCTTAAATACCATATGTGGTTGCTGAGGTTGGCTTTGTTTCTAAATTATCAACTTTTTAAGCGGACATAGAAATGCTTAGCCAATCTGTGTTCATTTCTTGTGTGTGTGTGTGTGTGTGTGTGTGTGTGTGTGTGTGTGTGTGTGT